CAGTGGGGGTCTTTAACCCCCAGCCACTGGACTGGGAACAGTATCTGTTCCCAAAACCAGCTGTTGGGGGGAACAGCATGAGCAAGGTGAGCAAGGAGCTCAGCGCTGCTGGAGCGGGACCATGGGTCACTGCCCGTGTGCCTGGTGCCAGCTGTGGGGGGAGAGTCTGTGTCTTCCCCAATTCTGGTGTGCCTGGGGTGCGCGTGCATATTCACCAGCAAATTTAAGCTGGACTAGCTGGAGACTAGGGGGGCCTAGGGTCCGGGCCAGGGTCCTCTGGGCAGGGGTTCTGTGCTGGTATGCCCAGGAGCACTTGTGAATGTGGAATGCATGAGGGACAAGTGTGTCAGTGCCGCATGTTTGCAGCAAGCACCAAGCTGGACCAGCTGGCAAGTCAGGGACCCTGTGAGGCAGGTAAAGGGGGCCCAGGATCCAGGCAGGGGTGCTAGGCGGGCAGAGGGGCCATGCTGGTAATCAAGGGATCTTCAAACATGTGCCAGGGTCCCCCAGTCTATTTGCTATGCAATATATGTTTTTTGCAAAAAAACCCCATTTGACCTCTAGTGTGCCTTGCTGACATAGGCTTTTCTACTGCGTAAATGACAGAAATCAAGTCAGTGAATTCATCAGCAATGTGAGTGGATTCTGTCTCTCTTAAACAAAAACAAACAAAAAAATGCAGCCAAGCAACCACATTCTTATTTTGGCTGCTCAGAGATTATGCCTGTAAACTCCCTCTCTAACTCTGCAGGGTTGTGTCAGTGGAGAACAGCAAGAGAAGCACAGGAGAAGCAAAACACATTACAAAGTATTCCATCTGTCCGTCCCCAGAATTTTTTGGTGACTTGTGAAGATGGCTATACTGGAGCAGACCTATGCTGTTCTGGGAGTCTGCTGTTTTGGAGAGTGCCTAATAATAATCATAGTTACAACACTGATGGACATACAGGTCAAAGGAATTTTAAGACTGACGTGTTCATCAGGTGTACAGTCTGCATAGGCCACTGAGAAGCACACCAATTACTGATGAGTCTTTTTCCTGAAAGTGATCTCCATCTATGTAGACAGCACAAACTCACTTTAGCCTTCCTGCTATGATCTTGTGTGCTGATAATGGTTTAAAAAGGATCAGAGTTGTCCTCAAACCACGAGCTGAACTGGCATCTAATGTACTCCTGGAATTTAAGTCACTAACTCCAGCTGGTACATTATGTATCTCACATCTAGCTTGGATGTAAGGTCCATCTATTGAAAAATAAAGCTGTATCCTTTTGTTTCTGCAGATTTTAACTTAAAAACAAAAGTTTGTACAAACTGCCCCTGTAAGTGAACTGGAATGAAGACAGACGCTCTCCCAAACTGCTTTGGATGAAATGAGATCTGTTCAGCAATAACTGAGTACACACCCACTCTAAAAATCAAAACTTGCACAGGAGGCCAGTATAATACAAAAATAAGATCAGCTCATACTGAAGTGTTGTGCCCATGTGAAAACATTCTGCCACAAGAATAATTTACCTCAGATCAAGACATGTAAGAGAATGACATGCTCTCTTGCACAGGTGTAAAAAGAAAATGGGAGCATAAAGTTTCACTACATTAAATAGTAACAGAAAATAGCAGGTTTCCTTCCCCAGAATCAGACCAAATCCTTTTTCATTTCTTTAACACTCCGTAGTCCAAGAAATTATTTTCCTCCCTTCCTCTCTCACTGTTCCTTTTATTAAGTCCAACTATTTCTTGTATTGACTACTTGTAGAGTTCTGGACTTTGCTTGCAATGATAATCTCTCTCCCCTTGCCAGCAAAAAGATGGCTACTTTACAGATACTTTCAGTTTCAAGATTCATCAGCGCAAAAATGGACACCAGAAAGCAGAACAGTACATTAAAAAAAGAACTGAAACTACAATTGCACAATGATTTGGTAAGATTAAGATTCTGCCATTCATTTTAAGTGAGTTAATAGTAAACAAGACACCACCACACAAACAATTGGAAAAGTCACTAAGATCAGTAGAGACTGTGGTATTTTGTGTCCGTGAGACACTAAAAAAGAAACTTCAGTTTTCTTAACTAAAAAGGTCAGTTCAGACCTCAGAAGAAATAAAAGACCAACTCAAAGGAACAACAGCACATATATTTGTTAGTTTCATAAAATGTATGTTCTGTAGAATACTGTATAAGAAAAAAAAAGGAGTCAGTAATACACAAATTCCCTGCATGATTTGCTATTAAATATTTTATACAGTGTGGGGAACAATGTGCCTTTTGCACAGTTAGCATAGTAGTGAATCAAACACAAATCATGCCTACCACAGTAGAACCTAGAGCTCCCAACTGGGATCAGAGATCATACTTCCTATTGCACTAAAATAAAGGAAAATGCATCGTAGCCCTAAATGGTTTAGGAACAGAAACAAAAGGAAAAGCTGCCATGAAATTATAAATACAGACACCCAATTTGTGCAAGATCCACTGACAGGCAAAGATAACCGCACTAAGGAGAAGGAAGAATGTTTGCATCCTCAGTTACGATGCCAGATATGTAGTCATATTCTGCTTCCAGTTCCATAGGTTTAATATGATTTTGAGCAGACTTGGTCATGCCAGCTGCAGTGCCTTTTAAATAAAATAGGTTTTAAACATAGCCTTTGATCCAAAAAGTCCATTAACAATTCCATGACAGATCAATACAGATCATTCCATATCTGCCATAATTATATACTATTTCTATAGGGATTTGTTACTGGTCATAGCCAAAGCAGAAGCCTGGAAAGGCTTCCACTTAGACCTTGTCTCTTAGTGCTCCTTAGGTCCTTTAACAAAGAAAAACACTAGGGACAATTTTGTAGCAAATTGTTTAACATTTCAGTAACAGTTTAACTGTAACAGCCCCTTCTTCAGGCTCTTCATGTATTTAGGTACTCAAGTTTGTTCTTTACCCAAATACTGTCTCTTTTGCTCTTTCTACATGTGAAAAATACTCTTTAACTTCACAACTATACCAGTTATGAAAACCTGATCTACACCAGTGTTATTGAAAGCTTTCTATTAAAGTGTTTAAAAATTAAAGGATGGCATCTTTTGAATTTTTCATAGTTAGTTTAACTGTATTATTTCCAGTAAAGTTAATCTAAACATTGCCTTCAGTAACAGCAAGTACATGAGCACTGAGTGCTTCTTAAACCCTAACCAGGCAAGAATCACAGCAGCACAGCTGCATGAATGTAAGTGCATACACACGCATATTATAGCAAGCGGGCGAAAACTCTATAGAAGAACTCAGAAAGGTGTACGGCACTGCTGATATCCCAACACTGAGCTCAACAGTTACATACCAAACAATTAACAACCACAAGAGCTTATGGGCATCATTTCCATCAAAACCAAAGTTCAAATCCTAGTGCAAGCATTTTGTAATCTTGCGAGTATATGATTAAAGCTTTGCAAGTATATAATTGAAGCTTACAGTTAAATGTACCTGAAGTTAAACATAACAGCTTCGGTGAACTTTATAGCTCTTTCATCAGTTTCCTCCAGGTGGATTTTTTTGTAGGTTTAGAATCCAAACTGAGACACCTCCAAACACAAAAGCAACGTGTACTACAGAACACAGACACACACACATATGTAGCCAAGTCCCCTGGGTTTGTTGTTGTTGTTGTTTTTGTTATTGTTATGTTCTACAGACAATCTTTATAAAAGATTAGTTTCATCATATGTATACTATATTACAGGCATGTTTCTACCACAAGAATAAATATTTGTAATATATTAAAAAAAATCAGAACATAAATCTTGCCTTTGAAAACTTACCAATGCCCAATGTATTTAAGGCTCACTAAGCAATTTCAAATTTGTAATAGTCTCTACATTTGCAAAATGCGTTAGTAAAGTTTACAGATTTTTAAAACAGTCCGACAATCTCTCTTAATGTTTCATAGCTTCTCTCCTCCGTAAACATATGCTAGCTTTTCTTTCACCTCTCTCCTTTCACGCTTCATGTTTTTACATTGTTGTCTTTACAAAAGGAACAAAAGTATCAAAAAGACACAAACAATATCCAGTTCAGCTCCTTTCAAGCTTAACAAAATTCTATTAGGTACTCAGGGTAGATTTGGTTGGCATCAAAGATAACAAAGATCTTTGGGTTCCAGGTATTATCCACACAGCTGTCATACAAGTTCACAAAACTTCCATCTTTTGAAGGAGGCCTCATGTATTTTGAATCACCATTGATATAGTCACCAGTTAATACACGAGCAAGAAACATGACTTTATCTGGTCTATGCAAATGAGGCTGCAGATTCACACCATGAATTTGAAAAGTATCTCCATGCTTCATGTCCTCTTTGCAGAAACGACTGGAATATGAGGCATCTCTTGCAAAATAGGTCCCTTTCAAATAAAAAAAAAAGTCTGATGACATTCTTATCATGACAGCTTAACTACTAGAGCAGGGATATGATGAAAGATGTCTGTTCTTTTACGTCCATAGCAATCCAATTTTTTTTTCCCTAAATTGTTAGATTATAGCAACATGACCGAATATTTTTAGTGGGAACGTTTTAGTAGGGAGATTGTCTTGTGATCAGCACTGCTTTGCTGGGCATCCCTTTCCCATGCTCCCTGGTCCTACCAGCCAGTTGTGACAATTACATTCCTTGCTGCATCCTAACTTTCTTAATTACACTTGATGTAAAAGCAGAGCTATATTGAACAGCTCTTCAATAAACACAGGGAGTACATCACAAAGAACATACTATAGGGAACACTTAATAATGTTGAACTGTTAAGATTACCAAACTGTTGTATGTGACAAAAATACTTACCTTTTCCATACACAGCAGCATGCATCCCATTTATTCTCCAGTCAAAGTTATGAATACATATTGCTTCTACAAATTCATTACTGGTGCCATGAAATAACATCTGCTCATTAATAGTTGGGACACCTCTCTTCTTCTTCAGTTGAGCTTTTTTCCTACAGAGAACACACAATACAGCATTACAAACATCTGTACAATCAAATTAAGTTACTGCTCTGAAAACACTGCAAAGGGGACAGACCTAAAACACTCAATACATTCCACTTTCACAAGTGTCTAGATGATTCTAGTTTTTAAACAGATCAGAATTCTTATGGTACCTGTTTAGAAATCACACACTTCTGGATACTGTGGACTATTTTCAGAAGTAATCCAAGGTTAGGAAAAAACGTCTTTTATACCAATTTTATCAACATTGTTCATTTGGCATTAGTTTCAGTGTGGTCATTTCCTGCAGATACTTTTTTAAACGAGAGGCATTTTTCTCCCATTTTGTTCCCTCCACCTACTTAAATAGCATGGTGGGAGGGATAACAAAGTTAGTGGATTGTAAAGTATAATTACCCAGGTAAACCAGCAAAAATATTAAAAATAAAATTACCTAAATTTTTAACATGATCATTTCATAATGGTTTTCTGAATTTATGGTTCACATGCTTTCTAAAAGAGGTAAGGCGTGCATTGACAGGGTTACATTGGTCTAGAATTTTGAAAAAACAAAAAACCAAAAAAACCCCCAAAACAAAAAACCCAACCTTATACTACAGGTGAACCTGTATTACAGTCTCATGGGCAGAAGGCCATAGCACACCTTCAATTAAAGAACAGATATATTTTCCATCCATCTTTTTTAAGTGACTTTCTGTCAGTTGGGTTTTCTAAGATCCATGAAGAAGTTGACTCTGGAGCTGTGTCTAAATCACTGAGCTGTTCATAGTTACGATCCTTTGACTGTCCAGACAAAACCAAGTCAGAATGTATCATAGCTTTGCTCTTGTCTATGTACCTGAATTTTCTTCCTATAAAAGCCACAGTGCATGGAGCACTGTGCTACATATTTAGGTTTATCAGGCACATACTTAGGTTTGTCAAATTAAGCAATCTGCTTATAACTGCAGTGCACGCTTTAACTGGGGAAGAGTTCTCAAGGCCTACAGTTTAGATATAGTCTGAGGAAGTCCTATCAACCAGGTCCAGGGAACGCGCCAGGCCGCAACGATGAAATCACACACTTCTGGATACTGTGGACTATTTTCAGAAGTAATCCAAGGTTAGGAAAAAACGTCTTTTATACCAATTTTATCAACATTGTTCATTTGGCATTAGTTTCAGTGTGGTCATTTCCTGCAGATACATTTTTAAACGAGAGGCATTTTTCTCCCATTTTGTTCCCTCCACCTACTTAAATAGCATGGTGGGAGGGATAACAAAGTTAGTGGATTGTAAAGTATAATTACCCAGGTAAACCAGCAAAAATATTAAAAATAAAATTACCTAAATTTTTAACATGATCATTTCATAATGGTTTTCTGAATTTATGGTTCACATGCTTTCTAAAAGAGGTAAGGCGTGCATTGACAGGGTTACATTGGTCTAAGAATTTTGAAAAAACAAAAAACCAAAAAAACCCCCAAAACAAAAAACCCAACCTTATACTACAGGTGAACCTGTATTACAGTCTCATGGGCAGAAGGCCATAGCACACCTTCAATTAAAGAACAGATATATTTTCCATCCATCTTTTTTAAGTGACTTTCTGTCAGTTGGGTTTTCTAAGATCCATGAAGAAGTTGACTCTGGAGCTGTGTCTAAATCACTGAGCTGTTCATAGTTACGATCCTTTGACTGTCCAGACAAAACCAAGTCAGAATGTATCATAGCTTTGCTCTTGTCTATGTACCTGAATTTTCTTCCTATAAAAGCCACAGTGCATGGAGCACTGTGCTACATATTTAGGTTTATCAGGCACATACTTAGGTTTGTCAAATTAAGCAATATGCTTATAACTGCAGTGCACGCTTTAACTGGGGAAGAGTTCTCAAGGCCTACAGTTTAGATATAGTCTGAGGAAGTCCTATCAACCAGGTCC